CTTGTATCTTTAAGACTATTTAATATTTTGTTAAAAAAATGTATGTAATTATTATTGGATGTACACTTAATGAAATAAATAAATAAAAAATGGTCCCGATATTCTTCTATTTTCCCGATCAAAAAAATTTTCGAAAGTCACTCACTTTTTCGGCCATCACATTGACCTTCCCTCTTAATTACAAACGAAATAATTATTATATTATTTGTCCCTGTTTATTCGATAATATAAGTAATAAAAATGCAATTCAACCACTGAATTCAATAATTTTGCTGTATTGAAAAAAGTCCGAGATTGCGGTTCTGTTTATTTTAAGCCATAGAAAATCGAAGAAAATTGTTTTTGTTTTCTAAATTGTTTTGTTTTGTGATAAATTTTAAAAAAAAATAACAAGTGCTCGATAGAAAATCAAATTTTATGTTTCGAGAACTTTTCTATATTTATATAAATATAAATAGGCAATTCAACTCAGTTAAGTATATACGTAACTGAGTTGAATTGCTTACACGAAGAAAACTTTTTGATAAATACTATCACTATAATATTGTAACAAGCACTAACATATTTTAATGATATACCTTTATAATGGATACTATTTTGTATTATTATAATTACGATATGAATATATATAGTAAAATTCACCATCTGTATATTGATTATTATTTTCTGTTATATTAGCATTAGATTGTAATCTTAATTACCAACTTTCATAAAATTAATTATCTGAAGAATAAGCTTTTAAATCATATCAATAAGTCCTACAATCTTTTTTTAATAAATGAAAAAAATTCAATTTTTGCAAATAGTTTTTTCTTCTAATATTATACTTTTAGAACATAATACCTCGATTCCCGAAAAGAATTTTTTTTTACATTTTTATAATTTCCATTAAGTTGTAGATAATAGTAGAATTGTATTAATAAAAAATTGTATTATTTCAAAATATAATTCAGCTGTTGGACTTGTGTAGATGAGATTTTTGAGATAAGAGTTGTAAAAAAACATATGAGCTTTACATGTGATTGTTTAATGTTAAATGAAATCGTTCAGTGTTTATCTTTACTGTAAAGTATTTATTATAAGAATGGTAAATTTTTACTAATTTTGATGGTAAATGTAAATATTTTATTTATAATCATGTACGATCGCTTCTTTTTGAAACTTATCATCTTATGATTGTATTGACTACAATATTCAAATTTTCATGTTTATCATCTTGATTTTTACATATCTAAATACCATCTCAGATAGTAAAATCCACAAAACAAGTATTGTTAACGACGGTATTTTTACACATTAGAAGTTCATCGCCTACAAAGGCGTTAATCCAATTTAATATCGCACAGTTGATTTTTAACACAGTTGTTTTTATAGTGTATCCTTAGCTTAATTCATGAATAAAATTCTTGAACCAAAACTACTACAAGGACAACAATAAATTTATTAGGACAAAAAAAAATTCTTAAGCCAAAAAATTTTTTTTCTTACTACGCTGGTCGAAAGTACGAGGTTTCTGTTGCGATTTCACTGCAGAAAGCCTGACATTTATGCCGTGGTCGAGTCGCGCATGCGCTTTACGACGGGGAGCCGAAAAAATGTATTCATGCACTGACAACGAGACATGAGGCGGCAGAAAGTCCGAAAGTCGGTGGTCGCGCTCACTCTATTACTTATGTTTATAAGCCTAACCTTACTTGTGATTGTTATGGATGTATCTGTCTTGTTATGTGTCAATGATTTGAGGTTGAGACTGAGTTAATTACAGAAAATGAATATATTTATTTTAATGAAAATTAAAGTAGCAGATATTTAATAAATTTTAGAATTTAAAAAAAAATAAATTAGTGCAAAAAAAATTAGAAAAAAAATTGACATGTAGAAATTTTAAAAAATTAAAAATGCAATTTTTTAAAAACCATTTTTTTTTTTAATTTATTTGATAAAAAAAATTAAGAAATGATTAAGTGACTACTAACTTTGTCATTTTATTTTAATGAAATAAGATTTGTTAAATATTTAAATTACAAAAAAAAAAAAAACGAGAAATATTTTTTATTCTGATCGATATTCTCAAATAAATAAATCTATTGGTGAACAAATAATTATTTGAAAAAATATACAACCAGATTTTTTTCTTAATTTTTTTTTCTCGATATGCATTTTACGATTATTATTTCTTTTTTCTGTTTTTATTTTATTCTTAAAATCTTTTATGATACATTTATAACGTTAAACGTTAAATTTATTCAGTTAAATTACGATCTTTTCTCTAAAGAAAGTAGTAATACGATAAATTATATATTAAAATCTTTATTGACAGGTGTATTTGATGCCTGCCCCCCCCCCCCCCCCGACCCAGCAGCACTCGCTTCGCTCGTGCCGCAAATGTCGGGGGCAGGCATCAATTTTTTTCAACGCAATTTTTAACGTACTTTCGACCGCATAGTAAGAAAACTAGTATACACTACATGGGCAGAAATTTGAGAGCCCTGAACTGCGTGCCATGATGCCCTCGGCTTCGCCTCGGGCATATGGCACGCAGTGCAGGAATCTCAAACTTTCTGCCCTTGTAGTGTAATATACTATTAAAACCGAGGAATTTTATCCTAACTTAAGATTTTATTTTCTTGACTAAAGAAATTTATTGTTCTCTTTTTCATAAAATTTTTTCTCTTGAATGAAGCTAACCTTTCTATCAGTGCAATAATACTTTTCCAAAAATGAATTCAAATATTTTAAAAAATTATACTTATTTGGACAAAGATTTTTATAAATTCGTTGTGATCTTCCGAGTTCGATTTTATAAAAGACATTACGCTCTTTCCCATATCAATAAGTGCTTTCAATGATCATTAAATACATTTTTCAATGATTTCTGAAAGGCGTTAAATTTTTTTTCTTGTACTTTTTGAAATTTAATTCAAATATTTTATCAGAAAAGATGGAAATTATGATTAATGGTTTCTCGATACATGATCAAAATACTTTCATTTTTTTTTTTGTAAACGTTGACTTTCCTCGCAAAATATTTTAAATGAAAAAGTTCAAAAGTCAACCGAAACGTCTCATAGCTGAAATCGAGTATCATTAATTCACAATGAAAGAAAATTTTGTGTAACGTATTTCATCGGAATCTTTTTCCTTTTTTGTGAAAATATAAATCTGACAATAGACTATCGCATTTATACATATTTGTGGTAAGAATTAATAGACCTTACCAAGACTATTAAAAAATCATTTATAAAAATGTGAAAGTAGTCAATTGACTGAATTAATTCATTTTATTATAGTATTTCCGAATTTATGAAATTTATACTTCAAAACACTAGTTTTTATACACTGGGTTGTGTCCAGTCGATCGTTCCCTCAGTTTCCAAATATTGAAGGGTAGTTTAGTTTTTCTTATTTTGTATCAATCATAACAAAAATAAAAAACGTTAAAAAGTAAAATAAATCATAAAAATGACCCAGTGTCACCTAAAGTTAAAATAACAAAAATACAGCATCTAAAACTTTTTTTTTTTTATAGGAAATGAACTGATGAGGTCTCCTGTGAAATACCGCATTTTTTTTAATAATCTATCACTCATTTTCCCTTTTCACTCACATTTTTAAAAAAATTGTATAACATAGTCTCATATGAAGTCAAAGTATATAAAAATATTGAAAGAACAGTAAACAATATAAAAATTGATTTTCTGGCAGAAAATGATCAAATTTCAAATAGTATGTTTATTTGTTTCTATTTATTTAAATGAGATTGTAAATATTTACCTTCGAATTATGTGTTTCTGAGAACACGTATAACCGCGTTAAAATCAAACAAAATATTGAATAGATAATTTTAATACATATGGAGCGGTGTCATACAGTTTACATATAGTTTTGTTCATTGATTGACGGAATCAAATATTAGTGTTCACGAAGACTGCTCAAAAATATATACAGTAGGAGCGCATAGAGTTCGCTACAAAGGGAGGCGTTTTGATGGTATTGTGAACTTTTTACGTATAAAAATAAAAAATTATGACCTTTGGCAAAAATTTTGGTGAATTAGGTATTTTTACCGTGCAATCATAAAAATAGTGAGAAAAAAAATTTTTTATAAAACGCGACTTACGGACTTTTTTTTTAGTTGAGATAGAAGGCTTAAAAATTTTTTCATTAATATCACTGCACACTTGTTAAAGAAAATATTTTTTACGTTATAAAATAATCAAAAAGAGTAATGCATAAAAAATCTGTGAATTTTAAAGTTGATCCATGACACTGTTTTCAGTTTTTAAAAATTATAAAAATTTTGACATGGTAATCAAGGTAAATTTTTATAATTTTATCATTTACATTCACTATTCATGATCAATTTTTAAAAAATCAGAAAAATGGTTGACCGGCAGGCCATCCCTAGGACTTCTCGCTTTTTTTTTGAGCTTGAAACGCTCGAAAAGCTTTCTATTGGTTGAGTTCAAAAGTTATATAAAAAAAAACCATTATTTAGAAATTTTTAAATGGCTATATTGAACTATAATACTATTATATACACTATATTACTATTTCAAGCGATTCGGACCGGTAAATTTTGAGAAATCTCAAAATCCTACTGTAAACCAATATAATGGCATTAAATGCAGCTGAGATATAGTAGATAATAGATATTTAAAATAAAATCAAAATTTACGTGTAGATAAAATGTTTATTTTTCACAGTTATAAAATTAAAATTTTTATTATTTTCATGATGTTCATATATGAGAATTAAGTAAAAACTATAACTGTGTAATATATAATAGTAATCTATGCAAATAGAAGGACTGTTAAGAACATAATAAAAATTTAATTATTCAAAGACTGTAAATTAGTAATTTTGAGTTTATAAATTTAAGTATTGTAAATGAAGTTGAATGATGGTATATTTTATGTTAATAATTATTATTCAATGACATATTCAATGAAATTGAAAAACTATTTTTGAATGAAATTGAAAACGATTAAAAAACTTAATTAATACCCACCGACCCAATGCAAAATATTCAGCAATAAATTCTTTGCCTGTTCGATTTCAGCACATGGATAATTGAAGTATTTACCGTAACTATTGAGTAAATCTGTAATTTCAGTAATTGTTCTCAAAATATCAGTTGGAGATTTGTCCCTGGTAGATATTTGATAAGATTTTACGATCGGTGGAAACTTGTCATACTTCTGTATCATCGAAACTAGTTTATGCACATTTTTACGGGCTCCATTTTGCATCTGTCAAATATAAATTCACGTTTCTTACATTTTCAGTAGAAGCTTTTTTTCTTTAAAGGTCCTAGATTTCTCTAGGTCAATATTTTCAAGTTTTAAAGATAATTAAAGATAATAAATTAATTTAAAATTTACTATACAAGACGGCTGCTTATAATTCGGATTCCAATTTTTATTACAAGGCATGCATTTACACCAGAAGTGATGTTTTAACTTCAGGGATTGTCGCCTAACTTGAGTTGGCGCGTCACGGTAATACATCCCATAACTAATGCATATTTGCTCCCCCTTTTTTATTGGTTGAAGAGTAACAACAGCACTGATATTTCCAGAAGCATATTGATAAGCATTGCAATCACAACTATGATTGAACAAACTTAAAAGTGACAATAAAACTCCGCAGGATCTTATCATATTACCTTTGTCGTCATTTGGCATCATCTGAAATAATTTCCGATAAAATTAAATCTATAATTATTTCTTCCATTATCAGAAAATTGACAAAGTTTACAATAGCTAGGGTAAAATAACAAACAGAAAAAAAATTTATAAAACCTCTATTTATAAATTTGTCAAGTTTTAATAAATAAATAAATTATACCATCATAGAATTAGTGCGAGCGATTGCTATATGATGAATAAGTAATTTGGCAATAAAAATAGCATATTTCATGTTTTTTAACTCGCTCATCTTATTAATTTTTTTACCAAATATTTCCGTTGTCGCCGCTAACATATAGAGTGTTTCAATAGATTTTCTGGTAAAAAGTTCTGATTCTATTAAGTTTATATCTTTTCGTAACAATGCGTATATACTAGCATACTTGCTATCATCAAATATTCCTCCAGTTAGGCTTTTATCAATTGTGTCTAACAAAAAAAAGTAATAAACATAATAAAGAATAAATAGTTATATGTATACATACTAAATGAAATTTACCTTCTATCTGTTCAAGATCTTGGACTTTTTTGTACAAAGTTTCTACATTTCCATACTCTTTAAGAGCTCTTATCAATAGTCGCAGACTTACAAGATTAACTTCTATGTTTTTTTTATTATAAGCCACAAGACTATTTATAACTTGGCATTCGATCTCATGGTGGTCTTCCCAAGCCTCGTCGCGACAGTTTTCATCGCAGTAGACGAAGTTTGTGCATTGGTTGCATGGAACACAACTAAAGGTAAACTTAACGCAGTTCCAGCAAAAGGTATGCCAATATTCTGTCAATAGTGTTGTTGAATAAGCTTTGTGTATCACAACAGCTTCTCCTGCTTTAATATCTTTCGTGGCCACAATTTGACGGCCAAATTTTTCAGACTGCTGTATGTCGATAGCGTGGGACGCTCTTAAAATTTTTGGATTTTCACTAGTAATTTTAGGCATGAATAAGCTGTCATCCCATTTTTTTACCGGTTTCTTGAGCGATTGTGTCTGTAGTTGATCTAGACTGCTTAAAACTTTTTTTTTATTGCTATCATCCATTTTTTCAATCCACATGTTAGCTTGAGCTATCGCTTCTTCAACTTCAGGACACATTTTTTGGTTTAAAGCCAATAAATTTTTGGCTTTCCGTGCATATAACTTAGCCTTCAAATTATCTGGATATCCAATTTTTAACGTTCTCTCAATATCTTTCAACGAATCTTCATACATTGCACCGTTTGTTAAAACTGCTGATCTATTAGCAAATGCACGAGCTAATACTTCTGAGCCAGGTAGTGCATAAGCTACTGCTTCATTGTAAATTTTGATCACTTCATTCAGTGGTGCAATCGAGATCATTTTATTTCCAACATTTATTTTCTTGGTTGCAATTTCTTCATCTTTTGATTCATTTTTTATAGGAATCCCCCCGTTATTAATCATTTGCTGAAGATTTTCTTCAAATAACTTCTCCCAGTTAGTCTCTTCTTTCGGTTTATTATTCATCATTGATAAAATTTTTTGAACCAAGTGATCTTCCATAACCGCAATTCTATAAAAAATAAATAGATATCACTTATATAACTGTAGTTACAATACAATTTTGTTGTTGTAATAAGTTTTGTTGAAAATTTTACGATATTAAATTATATGTAGATTATGAATCATGAAATTGTTTGCATCAACAATGAGATTTTATAATTTCAAAAAAGAATTAGTAAGATGATTGACCCTACAGGCTATCTCTGCAACTTCACCCACAACCATACCGACACTACTGTGAAAATAGGTGGAATAGCGTCCTACGACCGCAAAACTCGATGGAGATCTGATAAAAACTCGAAAATCTTTATCGCGTGAAGTTAAAAAGATAATATAAATTTATAATAATCAAAACAGTTATAATTTTTTTTATTTAAAATATTCATGGAAATAATTATAAATTTTCAAATTTTTTTCAACTATAAAATTAAAAAACCAATTAAGAATAAGATTACGTTATAAAAAATGATTGAATTATTTCAATTGAATCAGTTACTAAATTATAGTTGAGTAGTTTAAACAAATAAGTTTTAAAAATTTTTACCACTTTAATATGAGTTATGCTTCAACTCAACTTGTATTGTTACCGAGATTATTTGTTATCGTATGACGAACTGGAAATGTTACACATCGACGCTGGTCTTTTGCTTAGTGAGTCGCATTCGTTGTAATATAATATTAGTAAAATTATCAAAGTGGGAGCATAAAGAAGTGGGGATTCTTAATGTGTTCAACTATCGGTCTGCGAGTCCCGGTTTTTAGGTAGATTATGATTTCTTGTGTTTACTAACTTAAGTTTACAACTTGTGATGATAAAAACTGAGTAACAAACTATTGAAGAAAAAAAAAATTATCAATAAAATATATATTGCACACTTAAGCGCGAATATACTGCTTTATTCTATCTGGAAAATTAAGTTTTTATGAGATTTGAATAGCTGATCATGGTTTACGCATAAAATCAAGCCTTATACGAATTACGAATGAAATCACATATTATGATACAGCTGATAATAATTGTAATTAATAAATAAGATCATAATCTTATTTAAAAACGTACTGAGATCAAGTTTAATGATGGTAAATACTTCTCTATTTACACACAAAAACTAAATTTAAGAAAATAGCATAAAAAAATGGCCATCATCTTTTGACGGACATTTATGGGTGCAGTGAATTCGTTTATTTTGAAGATTAATTTTTTTTTTTAAGAAGATTAATTTTCTTTTTGTTAGGATAATATTTTCGTCATGGAAGTATATAATTTATTTATACTTACTTTAATAAATAAAAGCCATCAAGTAATTATTTAATTATTAAATAATATTATACTAGTAAATCTTCCACTTGGATAGGCTCCCTTACGGATTAATAAATGAACTAACTTAGTCAGATCGAATTCACAACAACTAATGTCTAGCAAAGGAGTATAATAAGATAAAGGCTCTTATGTTAAAAAAGAGTTCACGATTTTTAGCGCCTCCAGTGATTGTGTCCAGTTATGAAAACGAATAACGCGGCAGAATCCATTTTTCTTTGTTTGAATTTAAAAAGATGAATGATAAAAAATCTTGAAATGATTGAAAAAGAAAAATCAAAAACCATAATAAAATTGAAACCATAGTAAAATATCTGTAAAAAATAAAAATGCAAACTGAACAGATGAATAGCTGTATCGCAAAAAAAAAATAATGAATTGTCATGTTAAAATTATTTTATTTTAAAATCAGTTCATTTGTTCAAGAGAAATCGTCGAAAATTTTCGAAAAAAATGATTTTCTTACATAACTTCAAAATTTTTTCTTGAATTGTTTAGCAAATAAAGAATAATATTTTTGTGCTTAAATAACTACCTCATATCGCTTAAACCACATCAAAATCGGTCGATTTGTTCAAAAGATATCGTTGTCAAAAAATTAGGAAAAAACTGTAATAAGATAACTCTATCAGTTCTCAACAAACTGCGCCAAACGCCGCCAACTTCGTCAAAATCGGTTAAGTGGTTCGTGAGATATTATAGATAGAAGAAAAAGTGGTTTTTTCATCATTTTTCAATTATTTATCAGATCGAATTTCTTTCCGAAAATTTCCGTAAAGCTCTCTTAACCTCGCTGAACTTACTAGATACAAATTAAACTTTTGAGCTTAAAGAGCACAAAAGCGTAGAACAGTTCTATCATGGAGCTTGAAGAGCTCAAAATACTTGTAAAATCATGATTTTTAGCTCTATGAGCTTAAAAATATCGTAATTGATCAATTTTGGAGTATTTTGCATTTGAAATTAACGGGAAGTTGCAGAGGTGTGCATGGTTTGTAGGATCAACCGTTTTACTAATTCTTTTATTGAAATTTTATAGTAAAAATAATATACATATATTATTTTCACTAGATATCTATGAATAAAATGATCACCTGGTAAAACTTTCAACAAAATTCAATTTTAGATTAAACGTCCCCTCACTTCAGTTAAAAATCAATGTGAGAGAAAATAGGTTAGAGAAAAGTAAAAAAATAGAAAGAAGAAAGACATATATCTTTTGCATTGCAATCAGTTGCGGTGGACGCAACACTCCGTGACGGTTTAAATCTATCGTGAGTATAGGTCAAAAGAAGTGCTAAACGAAGGGTATTTTCGTATGCTTTTCAGAATATATATTAACAATGAGGGGTTTGTCGAGGTATAACCGCAGATGTGGTCATCGAGTGGCCACCTTGACTGAGTTGAACTAAGACGTAAGGGAAAAAAATGAATATAAAAAAAATATAGGCACACTAGCCATCAAAGCTTCAGACTAGGTCACTTGGGTTTTTATTACAACCGTGTTAAATCAACAACTCATGATACAACGATGCAGAGTGTGTAAAATGCTTGTAAATTACTTAGACATCCCTACTTCAGATAAATTCTTAATAAAAAAGAATAAATCATAAATCTGCTAGAAACACAAAATTTATGGTTCTATCAAACATGTTATGTAATGAAATACCCGACACAGAAAAAAAGCTATACTTTAACCAGCAAACGTTTTTCCAGCTCGAAGCAATTTTCATGTCAACTAAACATTTTGTGTTTAAGTTGTACAAATATTTCTTAATTTATCTAACTAATTAGATTAAAAATTGCACGCCTCATACCGCGAAGCCGTTGAGGTAGTATTTCACTCCTAACACGTTATGGTCATTCAATTTTGTGATCTTCAAATGCCTCTATCATAACCATATTGCATTTATACGATAATATGAGTAGACGTACATCGAGAAAATACTCTAATTACTTTATCTTATAGTTTCTAAAAATCATTTTATGTTGCTACATTGGAAAAAAAAAAAAAAACATATCGAAAAAAATTTTATGTGGTCGTCTGGATGTCCGAATGCTGATTTTGTATGTAATCATGATAACTCCCTCAAAAATTGCCGTATCGAGACTGAGCTTTTTTTATTAGTTCCAAAATTTGATGAACTGGTACTCTATTTCATATCAATAGCTTAGTTTGAATAGTATTTTTTTTTTTAATGAATTATTATTAACCCCTGACAAGCACACATCTAAATCGTATACCTCTTTAGGCATTGAGGGTGAAAAGTACCCAACATATTTCATTTTCAAATATCTTGGTTTCTAATAAAGTTAGAGAATTTTTTTTTTTTTAAATCAAAGCTCAAAAAATTCTCTATAAATTAGATATAATATTAAATTAATTAGTGCCAATTAAAATAGATAAATATACAATTGAAGTTGAAATATGTACAAAAAATTATAACGAAATAAAATTTTGGGGTGGGTACTTTTTACCCAGTGTGCTTGTCAGGGGTTAAAATTGACTATGATAACGTGATAAACACGTACAAAAACAAAAGAACTTTTCTTATATCTCTCATGTGAAAACAATGGCGCCACTTAATCAAGTTAAAATGAGATCAAGCAATCATCACTAGATTTTTTTTGACTGCGCGCGTATATGACACGAAAAACGGGCGCCAATTATTAAAAAAATATTAGAAAATACTCTATGAGAAACTACTTAATTGTTTTTTTTTTCTTTTAAAAATCAATTATATAATTTATTTTTATCTTAAAAATGTTTAAAAATAAATGAGCGTTATAAAGCGTGCACTTTTGGAATTTCCAAACTTTTTTCAAATACTGTAGAACCTTGCCCAAGCGGCACAAATTTTTTTTTGTTAATATTTTATTGAATTTAAGTTGACGATTATTAATTTTTGATTTATTGTTGTGCAAAAGCTACCAAAAAGTCGTCATTTTTTTTTGTAACGCTAGGGTGGTAACTAAATTCTAGATAGCGTAAATACATAAAAATTAATAAAATTTTGTGTTCTTTTTTTCTCAAGGCTTTAAACTTTTTTCTATAAATGCAGAATCTACAAATCAAATATTAAGTAAAAGTGCAATAAAATAAAAATGATCGGAATGGTGGAGAGTATTATTCTCTTATTTATTGATGTGATACTCTCCGAGGTACGTATTTTCAAATTACATTCTCTATAATGATTACTGACACTTTCAATTAATAAATTAAGTATACATTAAGGGGGTATATTCTAGTCTAGAAGCATGAATTTCAGGTAATTTTTTTAAGTGCCGTAAAAAAAAGACAATTAATATTTTTACTATCTATTTTTTTATAAGTTATTTATTAACATTACAAGAATACAGAAAAAAATTAAAAAAGTTGAAAATTCAAAAAATTAGCAGCTGATGAAGTGGGGGGGGTCTCAAAAAATTGGCACGTGACCATGCCCACGATTCCAACCTTCCTAGCAATCGGAAATAAAAAAATAAAAAAGATTATTAATCTAGAGTAATGTCACTATGGCATGAACTAGGGAAAAGTTGAAAAAAAATTTTTTACAAAATGGCGACTGCCTGAGAAAAAAAAAATTTTTTTTACTACTTTTTTTAACTTTTTCGATATGGCATGAACTAGGGAAAAGTTGAAAAAAAATTTTTTACAAAATGGCGACTGCCTGAGAAAAAA